TCCTAACAAGTTCTAATTCTTATTCGCGTGCAGGCAACAAAAAAAAACGGGTGTTATTTCATCGCGCTGATCAGGTTTGTTGGGCGGCACTTGCTACATCTGTACGCTTGATTCACGATCTGCAGGTTTTAGCACGCGGACATAATTTTTTCCAAGAGACCGATTTCCGAGGGCACCAAAATGAGAACGGGAAGTGACTGGACGATCTCAGTGCAATGTTCGCATGTGGTTCACATTCCCTTCCTTGTTGTTAGCACACAATGACATGCAAGCCTGAAAAGCATGGCCTTCAATATGTGCTACCTTGTCACGTATTTTCAGTGTTTTCGGTTTCAAAACACGTGTCTCGGAGGCTACGCTTTTTTTTAAATCTTTTTGCATCGAAGTCCCTAAAAGCAGCTGCTGCCAGCTACAAAGCCATAGTGACATCAATATCGCCAACATGTGCATGGTGAGAACTCGGACAAACTCGGCGTTGCGTCTTTTGCGCCTTATGGTCTTGTGCACTTCTCGCCTCGTTCCTGATAAATCCTCATTTGGGAGTTGAACTGAACGTTGACCCGCATGTATCGATAAAAATTATGACTGGCGCTTAGAGCGACGTCAAGTAAAACACTGTGTTGTAAACGTTCCCTGCGGGCCAGGTGATGACTTCGGGCACGTCATGACCGCTAACAACAGCGTACGGTGCCTTAGTGAATTCTGCGACTTATCAGCATATCCGGGCACCATCTCGGACAGCAGCGACTTCATCGGTACTGATGACGATGTTGCTGTTTCTGACTGCATCGATGCTGAGATTTTGGCTGCTGTTGCCGGTGCTGCGGAAGTATAGCCGTGCGATTGTGAATGTGCTAACGCCTTCGCTCCCCCCGCTAAATGAGCTTTTGCCGCGCTACAAAGCTTGCATCGGCATTCTGCGTTTACTAACGTTGGGGCCGAAGGAGCTAAGTTAGCTTATTTGAAAAGCTTCAATGATATTAAGGATGACTGGAACTTGACAGCGCGCAAGAAGCAAGACAAGTTTACGGACTAAATAAAGTGCAGTAACCCGCAGTTCACACCTTGTTTTTGAGTGAATCGTTATCTTATCTTTTGTAACAATTTCAGAGGCCTGAAATTCTACAATTTAGGCCTTAAATATGCATATTTTGTATTTCAAATTCTCAATACATCGAACTATTTTGCGATCCCCTTCGAATTTGATATATCCGGGATCGACTGTACATGGTACTTTTAGAAGTGAACACATTTGTAAGAGACTATTTTAAGCCACAAACTAAAGGCCGAGCATTTGACTGCCTGTGCGACCAGTTAACACTATTCTTCTTCCCCTCCGGCGACGATCCAGTTGAGCCAGGTGGTGAGGGTGTTGAAAATAAAGAAGTAGGGAATGGGCTTAGGGGGAGGCACGACAGAGATGTAGAGAAAGAGAAGAAGGAAGTAGAAAGGCGGAGCTAGCTCTGATGGAGTAAACGTCTTCATTCAGAGCCTTGACCATGGGCCCTTGTTCTTGACAGATGGTGTTTCAGAAGGAGCAGAGAGACCGCAGAACCGATACGTCTTCGGTTTATTATTGACAGAACAGGAATAAAAAAAAATATGCAGAGCGTGCCCCTGGCTACTACTTCTTCCTCGCCTCTGAGCTCCATCTTCAATCTGTGTTTTACAGATGGAATGGAAAGGGGGAGGGTAAAAGCTGGATTGCTGAGCAAGTAGAAAAGGCAGGGTGACAGGTTGGCATATACAGAGGAGCAATTGGGACAGGAGAGGTCAGATCTATGTTTATAGAGAAAAATGCCAGAGTCAATTTACTAGTTCGTGCCGTAAAATTTGAGCCTCTAGATGAATTCAGTGCAAGATTAAGGCGTATGGTGGTTAGAAATTGTTCAACTAGAAGTGTCGCTGGAGTTTTTTCAACCAGAGAAATTGTTTTCATCAGGGCAGCAAGGCAAGGTTGCTCCCCCAACGAACATAAGTTGAAACTCTGGTTTCAGCACAATTCTCTGTGCAATGACAATGCATCCTATGAGACCATCCAGTCGAAGCAATGCTACAGTTAGGCAAAAGCAAGTTGCCAAAAAAGGCTGGCCATGCTATCTCAGCTTGCAGCAACCTTTAAGCTGCAACCAAAACACCATCTTGTGACCTTGTGGAAGAGCCCTTGACATCACATGCAGTATGTCTGTGACTGGCTCTAGTTCCCCTAAAACGTTAAATTGGTTGAAAAGCTGTACTACATACGGAAGCATCTACTACAGTTCCAGAGGAGAACACCTGGAATCCTGCAATGTGCTCTAAATGCCCAACCAGAATTTAAAAAAAAAAACTCTGTAGCTTTCATTTTATCTAGGAATTCAGATTTCTAACTGATCCTTCAATGATATGCAACTAAATTTTCACTTATTATGCCAAGCACCACGGAAACTTCCCTGAGCTTGCTGTACACATAACAAGGCTGGTGTGAATATTCAAATGCTTTAAATATTTCAACAAATATTAGAGTATTCAAATTTGCTTCCATTCAAATTGATATTATTAAAAATTTTGAAGTTTTCAAGCTAAACTAATATGTTTTATTACCTCGCATATACAGTCGACTCCCGTTAATACGAAGTTCACGGGAACCGCAAAAAACTTCGAATTAAACGAACTTCGAATTAAGCAAAAAGCACTAAAAATGGCACTTTTATTAGTTTAAAAGCGCGACAGTTTTGAGGAAAAATAGTCTGTCGTTGATGCCCAACATTTCAGCAAGCGATGATGCTTTTGCCGTGACGACTTCACCACTGAGAGGAAGTTTGTTGTTTCGTGCCTCTCTGATCCAAATCAGCAGTGCTTCCTCCAACTCGGGGTAGGCGCCGGTGCGCATCCGCTTCCGCGATGTCTTGAATTTTTCACTTTCAAACGCATCCAATTTGAGCGCTCATTCTTTATGAAAGTCGACAGCGTGTTAGGCTTAATGCCGTACTTTCTTGCAATGTCTTGTTTGGCGGTGCCTCCCTGGTCAACTTCCTTCAAGACTTCGACTTTCGTCGCTAGGTCTAGCGTTCGGTAAGGGCCACGAGTTGCCATTATCAAACGTACGTCTCCAACACAACACTCAAAATCAGAAGCGCGGAAACACATGTGGAATCAACCCAGCGCGCGGGTGACGCGGTGACACACTCGAGTCTCGACAAAAGTCAACTAAAGAGTCAGTCGATGCCGCCGATGCGATTCGCCAGCGCTAAAAAGATTGCCGCTTCAAGATCTGTGGCGCTGCGGACAGTAGTGATGGCGAAGACTCCAGCGCGGTCCGGCAGATGTTTTGGCATATGAAAAGTTCCCCATTTTACTGTAAAATTACGGTCGCGACGAGACTGTTGATTGAAAAAACTTCTAATTAACCAATATTATGGGTTTTTAACTTTGAATTATCGAGCATTTTTTTCTATACGATTGCATGCAAAACTGATGGGACCACTTGCTCATCTCTAATTAACCGAAACTTCCAATTAAGCGACTTTGAATTACCGGGAGTCGACTGTAATCCTTGAAAAGGTGGTCTCATTGCAGTGGAGATGTGCTATGCCGTGAAAGCACCTATTTAAATTTATTATTTCGCATGTAACCTCCTGTAAAGGTACTTTCACAGACGTAAACATGTGCTAAGCTGTGAAAACACCTACCTGAAAACACCTATCCGACTGCCACAAAGCCCCACTTTAAGGTAAAATGAACATACTACGCTCAATTTGACTCATCATTTCTTAGGTTTCAAAGGTTGTTATACAGGCTTATATGCTAAAATTATAGTAAATATTAGAACATCACATGTTATCACTTGCATTCTATTGAAAGTCAAATCCCGCTACTATTCAAAGTTGTTCCCACTTTCTTTGAGGAAAAAAAAAAACAAACAAGGCATTTGCACAGGCCTTGCTTCGATTTAAAGAAAATGCTGACTTGATGAAATGAAATGATGACAACTATGCCCATCCTTTTTTTACAATATGTAATGCATACTATTTGAATTCAATTCGATATTGTTCAACCAAAATTACTATTCCCTTTAAATTCGCTTTGAACATAAAATTCACTCTTTGCAAAAGCCTACACATGACCAAACATAGAAATCAGTATCCACTGCTGAAATGCCATGCAAAATAGTCACACAAGAAGACAATGTCTGCTTTCGATGCTGGAACACAGAGGAAACATTTCCATGTCGGCAGTGCCTGAGTGTTGATTAAAGCTGATTAAGAGATGAGGAAGTTGACAATGACACTAGTGAAGTTCAAGTAGTCAGTGCAGAGACCATGTTCACTATTTCTGATTTTTTGTAGGCCACTACTCAACGTCAGCACAAAGCAGCCACAGTGGTTAGCTGGCAGCCATGGTACGACAAGAATGTCTAAAGATGAGTTCAGTGCAAACTGCAGTGCGCCTGCACGGTTCCCATACATGATGTGCAATCTCTTGAGGAATTCATTATTTTTTCTTCATTTCATTTTCTTTGCGGTGGCAGAAGCTGCCAAGCCAGTTTCACACTAGAACAGTAGGAACGTCGGTTTGGACTACAAAAGGTTAACAAATTTTTGTGGTGGCACGCATTCACGTGAAGAGTTTTATTCACAAATATTTTTTTCCATGCAATATATTTGTGTTCGATATTGCATACATTTTAATAAATAGTGTGTACGTGCAATTGTAGCCTATACAATCTATGCTTTACCATGAAGCAATAGTTATGAAACCAATTTTAATCTTATAAGCAGTAAGCGTAGAGTTTGACATGCTTTAAAAGTGTGATGCAGAACTCCACTATGTGCTCTTGACTGCCACAGTATATGGTGATACCAGAGACGCCAACACAATGCCCCCCGTAGTGTGCTGCAATAGAATTCGTATGACTTGTACGACAGGGTCATAACTATCTTGGCCCAATGTGACTCAGGCATTCATCTCACCCAAAATGATGTCATATTCTCAGTGATTGAAGATAAAAATTAACTCACCGCACAGAGCACGAGAACAGCCCCGTCAAGCACACGAAGGGCACGTTCCACTTCGATGGTGAAATCGACATGGCCAGGAGTGTCGATGATGTTGATGGCCGTGGAGCCCCAGTACACCTGAGTGGCCGCTGACTGGATCGTGATGCCCCGCTGTCTTTCCAACTCCATCGAGTCCATCACTGCACCCACCTGGTCCTTGCCTTTGACCTTCAATTAAGAAGAGCACACTTAGCATTTTTTTCAACGTTGCACAACACACTAGTTTAGCCGTGTTTAAAGGACAAATAAACAGCCCCGAGGTCCAAAAATTTTTAAAAAAAGATCGATGTGCAGTTTTTCTTTGCAAACATGCTCCTGCAAGAATTTTGTGAATACGTGATAAGGAAGTCACAGGGGTTAAAAAATCGATGTAAGCTGGTTTCAAATTTTCGTGCGGCCTCACTCCCCTTCTCTCTTCCATGAAGGGGGAAGGCGTAGCCCATTGTCGTGACTCCGCCCACTTCAGCAACGTGACACCCCGTCAGCGATTGATGTCATCAGCGAACTGGATCAGTGACAACGCACTTCCGCTTGCATGTGAAGCGTAGTTGTTTGTTTACCGTTTGCAGCACCAGCCGCGGGTCAACCGTATAAGCATTAGGTGCGAAGTGTCGACCACAAACGATCAGGTTTCCAACGTACATCGCTAGATGGCCGATTCGCTTCAGCCATGCAGCGCGCAGGGCCCCATCGTGAGGCAACCAGTGCCGATGCTTCTTCGCTGCCCAGTCGCTCGATTTGCAGCCGACGACACAGCAACGCTTTTTACCCGTGTTGCTCATGTCAAGGGCAAAGTACGTTCGTGCGTGCGCACAGGCGCTGCAGTTGAGTGAGGAGTGTACACGTGCACGCGACAACTGCGAGGCTGGTTCTTTCACAGCAGTGCCAAGAAACAAGGGGCAGTTTCATAACTGTGGGTGGGAACAGGAACTGCATTGACTTCACTACTATTTTTTCAGACCTGATTTAGACCAATCAGTGAGCTGCGTGCTACGTCATGTCGCCGATCGCCAAGTTGACGTCACTGCACATGCAAGGGGGTCGGTCAAGCGTAGGAAAGAGGGGCGGGAATCGTTTTTCGAAATAGAGGCTCTGAGCGGCGCGCAGTGCCGTAATATTCAGAAAACGTGATCACTGAGGTCTAATCTACGAATTGCCTGAGCTTGTATGGGGGGTGTAAAAAAAAAGTTGGAGCCTGTTTACTGGCCCTTTAAAGTTTTTATTTCTCACTAAATTGCGCAGTGCCACTGCGTAAGCATACTATAATAAATGTTTTGTGTTTCTCCTTTCGGTTACATTCACAGAACACACTACATTTCTGCATTTCCTGATGACATCATATCACACAATGTTTCTAACAAAAAGTGTCTTGCACATTAAAAGAAAATAACCTCATTTGATTTGTACAAACCAAGAATGAAAGAATAGCAGGCAAAGTATTTTGCAGAGTGAGACTGAGCTTTTGAATAAGCTGTGGTTAAAAGCCCGGATGTTTCTATGCTCGTATTATTTTACGTACCTGCAGGAGCAGACAATCAATAGTCAAAACCAAAGCATGCTGCTATATACAAATAAATACGGTAGGCTTCAGACAAACTAATATACTTTCATTACTCTATATTGCATTTCATTTTTATAATAGTAGTAAGTCCAAATCTACATTACTGGAAGTTTCTTTTTCAACTTAAGCTTGAGAAAATGCATTTTTGTTTGATGATGAACAAAGAGCAGTCCAAGTAACTCCTTGTCTACTTTCTATAATGTGCTTCACATAAATATGGTCTACTAAGCTGGGATTATGATCATTGTTCATTTTAGTATAAGAATTTTTATAGCTTCATTTTCGAGCTCTACTCAAGTATTGATGTTGCCTAATAAAATGTCTCAGCTGCTTTATATAACACTTCCATAAGAAAAATGTAACCTGGGTAGAGTATCCCAAAAAAAGCTCCGAAATGTCCATGAGGAAGTATGCACTTAGCACATCATGATGTGCCAGTTGTCATGCACTTTGTGTGAAGAATTTTAGAGCATAGAATATAATTACACTCAAACCTCTTAATAACAAAATTGCACCTCACACACAAACAAGTTTTATCCAAAATTCGTTATAAAAGTATATTCCTAACACTATCTATCGCAACAGTATTCTTCATTCCCTTCGTTCCAACTGATACTTTGTTATATCAGGGTTCATTATATCAAGGTTGCAGTGTATAATCATTAGTTGAACTGTGTGCCTTCATGATTAGCTCCAGTTGCACACCATTGATAAGTGCAAGTGTATGGCAAAACCTGTACCTGCCTTCAGAACATCACTACTGGAAATTGCAAAAACTTCACCATACTAGCAGTTACAGCTTCAGTTATAGCATGAACTAACTCTAAGAAAAACTTGGATTCAATATTTTTATTATTTGTTTGTGCAGTTAGTAGTGCATGCAATGCAGTCCTGTCCAAAAGGATAGCAGCAAAGAGCACACTTTGAATAAGTTCTGGTTGATTGCCCAAATGTTTCAATTTTGTCCTTGCAATGATGTTTTGGATGACTTTGAGTTTCCAAATAACAACACTCGCTTTTGGTTCAAGGTCCCTTCAAGACCACCGACAGTGGCACAGCCAAAAACCACTTCATGCTTGACAGCAAAGAAACTAGATTATGCAACAAGCTTGAGTATTGCTCACTTAAAAGCAACACGATGCAACCCTGATGATGATGCCACAACATTCCAAATGCTTTAGTAAACCATACGCTGGCTTGCAAAGTGTATTCTATTTACGAAAGTTGCGCCATGGCCCCTATACATAAACGCACACTGCCCAACCGTGGAGGGCACTGGGACGCCAGAAGGCTAGTCAATTATACAAACTTATTTGATGCCCTGCTAGTAGTAACAATAAACCATGGATTACTCAATGAGTCCGTATGTTGATTAACAGAAAAAAATAGAGCTTTTTGTAAGCACTGCCCCTCGCCGAATCCTACATTGTACGTAAAGATGAAGGAAATGAGCAGAACAATCGCAAGGTTGATGCATAGTGCGCACAAAACAGTTTATTTGCACTCTTGGAGACAAAGTTAAAACTAATCCAAAGAAAATGTGGAAACATGTCTAGAGCAAAAAGAACTCCTGTGATGCTATCACTGACGTTATGGATGAAAAAACCTACGGCGCAAATATCATGGCAAAAGCAGAGGCCTTCAATGCTTATTTTCACTGTGTGTTTTCACAGTCAAAAGCCGTGGTTTCCAAATCGCATGACGCCTGTGAGCTCACACAGATGAGGAAAATTGTGGTGTCTGAAGATGGTATCGCATTACTACTGTGGAAGATAAACATCCACACAGCTACTGGTCCCGACTTAATTTCAAATTTCTGTCTAAAAAATGTGCATTGTCTGTCCCCCCTTTCTTAACACTGCTATTTAAAATATCTCTTGAAGTAGGAGCTCTACCTTCAGACTGGAAAAATGCAAATGTTATTCCATTTGAGAAAATGGGGTTTAAGAACAATAACATATAACTACAGGCCAATTTCACTCACAAACGTTGCTTGCATAACATTAGAACATGTTATTTACATGAATTTAACAGCACACCTTCAAGAGAATAGCTTCTTTATAGCAATGTAACATGGCTTCAGGGCTGGCTTTTCCTGTGACACTCAGCTGATAGAATTTTGCCATGACATTGCAGGATTTATTAACTCAGGTTTGCAAGCTGACTGCATCTTTTTAGACTTTCGGAAAGCATTCGATATCGTATCTCATACCCTGTTGCTACAAAAGTTGACCAGTCTAAATTTGCTAAATACCCTCTTGAAGTGGTTGGAAGCGTACCTGCTAGATTGAAACCAATGCGGGATACATGGAGGTGTTTGCTCTTGAGACGTCTCACTATAACCAGGTGTGCCACAGGGGTCTGACTTAGGGCCTCTGCTTTTTATAATACTACTTATTAATGATATAACTGAAAACTTGTCATGCTAAGTGAGACTATATGTGGAAGATTGCTGTATTTACCACAACATTTCAAGTGAATCAGACAGTGAACAGCTACAAAATGATCTTAGCAATGTCATGCCTTGGTGTTGAACTTGGAACATGACACTTGGAACACGACACCCACTGATAAGGAAATAGCCATTACTTATGCAGGAATGACGCTGTAGCAATTAACAAACCAGAAGTTTCTTGGAGTGACGTTTCATGAAAAGTTAAGGGGGGGCGCGGCAAGTAAAGTGCCGATTTTGGTCAAAATATGCGATTTTCTGATTTATTTTTTTTCGTAATCTTCAGACCTTCAACTTCCTTGTTCTAAAATATTACAGCGAAACGTGCGCTACAAATCCCGCAAATAGTGTTTTTGCCGAGGCTAGTCGCCGAAAAGTGCGAAAAAAAAGCCCCTGAGCAAAAAATGTGCTCTGCGACGGTGACAGCCGTACGTACCTTGCCCTCACGCAAGACAAGGTGTATGGCTACATGGTGATTAAGAAACAGGAGTGTGTGAACCATGTGAAAAAAAGAATGGGCACTTCCTTGCGCAACCTTCTTGATGAGCACAAATCCAAAGGCCGAGGACTGAGCATGGGTGGCAAAGGCCGGCTGACGCAGGGCCTGATAAAGAAGTTGACGAATTATTATGGCTGGGCCATTAAGAGCCACCCCAACGATGTTCCTGGCATGGAGAGGGCCATCATGGCCACTTATTACCATGTAACATCCACAGACCAGGATCCACACCACAACCTGTGCCCAAGTGGGACTGACTCCTGGTGCCCGCACAATCAGGCATTGGCCAAGGGAGAGCCGCTGCCGCCTCACAAACATAAACTGCCCCCTCACGTGCGAGTGGCACTGCTGCCAATCTACAAGCGCCTCTCAAACAAAGAGCTCCTTGAAAGGTGTGCGCAGGGAAAAACCCAGAACGCTGTGGAGAGTATGAACAGCCTCATTTGGTCACTCCAGTCCAAGAGCCAGTTCGCCTCCCTTCGAAGTGTGGAAAGTGCAGTTGCAGATGCAGTCTGCCGTTTCAATGGTGGCTGCAAGAGTGCGCTGCAAGAGATCACTGCTCAACTGGGCTTCAATCCAGGAGACTGCTCTTTGCGGCGAGCAGCCGAAAAGGATGCCAAAAGGGTAAAGAGGGCTCAAAAGGCGCATTGTTCCAC